TCTGCAGGTCCAGGGTTCTCATCAGACTATGCTAGGCTTCCCTCTTCTTCTATCACAAACTCCACAAGGGAGTGATTACTTCCCCAAAAAGTTCCTGTTATTTCTCATTCAGAAGCCAGAGTTCCTCTGTTGATGAGAAAATCGTATTCAGAAGAGAATCACCCATTGTTGGGTGAAATTGTCATTAAGCCAAATGAAAAAGTTGTTGGCTGAATATGGAAATTTGTTTTGTTTGACTGCTCATAATTTTTATAAAGGCTTTGTTTTTCCTTTCCTTTTCGATTGGCAGGAGGAGAGAAAATAGGTTTTCTTTGAAAAGAAAAGCTTTTTGGATGCCCTGCTTTTGGCACAGAACTCTTAATAGATGGGTTCTAACTAAATGAAGTACCCTATCATTACTACATTCTGATTCCTCAACTTATCTATTTCTCTTTTCCGTCTAGGTGGTCTGTAGTTTATTCCTATCACTGAAATAACTTTTCTTTGTCTCTCTGTTGATCTTTCCCCACATACTTCCCACCATGCTTTCCTCACCCTGGTTCTCAGATTTCAAATATGGATTTATTTTTTAAATCTGCTCCCACCACTCTCCTTTTTCAAAAAATAAGATACCCCCATCCAGAGTCATATTTCTGTCATGGGACTTATCCCACCAAGGCTCAGCAATACTGATGTGGTCAAGTTTACTTCCTTGCATTAATTTTTTCTAGTTCAATTTTGTTAGGCAGGAAGTCATGTTAGAGGCTATTGCAATGGTACTGGCAGATTGTGATGTAGTCCTGTGCTAGTCAGAGGACTAGATATAAGAGGACTGTTTGGAGAAATAGCTCAGGGTTGATATCAATAGGATTTAGTAACTAATTGGATATGAAGGGTGAGAGAGGGTGGAGTCAAAAGACAATAGCAAAGTTGCAAATATGGGAGACTGAGTGAATGGTGGGCTCACTAACAGGGATCAAAATCAGAATTGGAAGGAGCAAGTTTTTTGGGGGAAAGGAAATATGCTTTGTTTTGAGGTGCCAATGAAGCACCCCAGTGATGTTCTGTTGACAGTTAGAAATGTGGTTCTGCATAGTTCAGGGAGAGATCCAGATTAGAGATAATGAATTGGAAGTCTGTTTACATCAAGGTGACAACTGAAGCCATGACATTGAGTGATGCTGAACAGGGAGAAAGTATGAAGAGAGATGAGAGGATAGCGAAGGATGGAACTTGGGGTACACTCACCCTACAGCGGTAGAAGGGAGAGACGATGCTAACGAAGGAAATAGAAAAGCAAGAATTTAAGAGGTAGAGCCTGGGGAGAGTATGGTGTCTCTTAAGCTAAGGGAGGAAAGACTATTTAGAAGGGGATGGTTAGAGAGGATAACCATTGATAAAAATTGTTATCATAAATAGGTGATTCCAGTCAATTGTGGCTCTTGAGAGAGTGGTTTCAGTAGAGTGGGAAGGTAGGAAGTCAGGAAACAGGCCTAGACATATGATGTGATTCATAAAAGGTGGGTCCCCTATTCTTTCTTTTTTCCTTAATATAAATTATATATAAATTATAGGCAACTACATGGCATAGAGCACTAGGCCTGGAGTCAAGAAGATCTAAGTTCAAATCTGGCCTCAGGCACTTAGTAGCTGTGTGACCCTGGGCAAGTCACTTCACCCTGTTTGCCTTAGTTTCCTTATCTGTAAAATGAACTGGAGAGGGGAAAAGGCAAACTCCTCCACTATCTCTGCCAAGAAAACCCCAGATGGAGTCACAAAGAGTCGGACACAACTGAAAAGCAACAACATTTTTTTATATAATGCTGTCACTTTCCCACAACTCTCCCAAGCTTCCATTGGAACCTCCCTTACAACAAATAAGCGCAGATAAGCAAAACAAACCAACATTATACAGCTATACGTCTATAGGTTCCACCTTTCTGCCAAGAGGTGGGGGACATTTTTTACTCTCAGCCCTCTCTAGTATATATTGATGATTGTATTGACACCAGTTCTGATGTCTTTTAATGTTGGTTCTGCTTACATTACTGTGGTCATTGTGTGTAAAATTTGTTCTTGGTCCTTGCTTACTTAACTAGTTGGCACAGTGGATAGACTACTGGGCCTGGAATCACAAAGACTTGAGTTCAAATCTGGTTTCAGCTGTTCACTGGCTATATGACATTGGGCAAGTCACTCTCTGTTTGCCTTAGTTTCCCAATCAGTAAAATGGGGGCTAGTAATAACACCTCTCATACAGGATTGCAATGAGGATCAAATGAGATAATATTTGCAAAGCATTTAGCCCGGTGCCTGGCACAGAGTAAGTGCTTAATAAATGTTTATTCCATCCATCCATCCATCCATGAGTCTATGTGATTTCAACTATACCGCGTTACCTACCTAAGGCAGCAGGACACAGAAGAAAGAAGGCTGGATTTCAGTAGACCTATACTCAGGATCACTTCCTTTTTAAAAAAAATTCCATTTTATTTTATTTTCAGTTTCAAATTCTTCCCCATCTCCTCTAATAGCAGCCATTGAGAAAGCAAAAAAAAAAAAAAGCAAGACAAATTTCTGCATTAGCTATGTTCCAATTTTTTTTTAAATGAAGAAAAAGAAATGAGAAACCATGTCTCAATCTACACCTAGATCCAACTGCTCTCTATCTGGAGATGGATAGCACGCTTCATACTGAGCTCTTTGGAATCGTGGTTGGTTGTTTTGCTGATTAAAGCTACTAAGTCTTTCAAAGTTGATTATCTTCATAATATTTCTGTTAATGTGTAAATTGTTTTCCTGATTCTGCTTACTTCACTTTGCATCAGTTCATAAAAGTCTTCCTAGGTTTTTCTGAAACCATTCCCTTCATAATTTCTTACAGCACAATAGTATTCTATCACATTCATATACGATAACTTGTTTAGCTGTTCCTCATTTGATGGGCATCCCTTCAATTTCTAATTCTTTGCCACAATAGAAAGAGCTACTGTCAATATTATTGCACATATATTCAGGAACACTTCCACTATTTTTTTTTTTTGGTGAGGCAATTGGGGTTAAGTGACTTGCCCAGGGTCACACAGCTAGTAAGTGTTAAGTGTCTGAGGTTGGATTTGAACTCAGGTCCTCCTGACTCCAAGGCCAGAGCTCTATCCACTGTGCTACCTAGCTGCCCCCACTTCCACTATTTTTGTTGCTGTTCAGTTGTATCCAACTCTTCACGACCCCATTTGAGGTTTTCTTGGCAAAGATACTGGGGTGGTTTGCCATTTTCTTCTCCAGGTCGTTTTACAGCTGAGGCAACTGAAGCAGAGTGAAGTGACTTACCCAGGGTCACATAGATAGTAAGTGTCTGAAGCTGTATTTCAGCTGTCACCATCATGCTATTATTCTTTTATAGTTTGTGTTCTTTGAACTATTGTGCAAAGGCATACGATAACTGCTGTATGTAAGTGAATAAAATTATTAGAATGTAAGATCCTTCTCCTCACTAAAAGCATCCTCAGGACAATTCTAGTAGCAGAGAGGATGATGGTAATGATATGTCCCTCATCCCGTCCCCACAAGATTTTTATTTCTTTTGCTACATCTCTATGTTTTGAAAGCTTTTTGTCCTATGCAACTTGGACATTATGAGTATTTGGTATGGCTACATCTATTGAAAACACCGTTAAGTTTTTATGCATAAGTGCTGTCTGGGCAATTGTGGGATGGTGTTCAGTCTATGATAATGTCCCAGTTCCAGTAAAATTCATTGGTTGAATTCCCTAGGAAATGTTAAGGTCTATGATATTTTTAATATGGAGATTTGTTAATTGCCAGTCTAGGGCAGCTAGATGGTACAGTGGATAGAGTGCCAGATCTGGAGTTAGGAAGACCTGAGTTCAAATCTCACCTCAGATACTTAGCTATGTGACCCTGGGCAAGTCACTTAACCATATTTGCCTCAGTTTCATCATCTATAAAATGAGCTGGAGAAGGAAATGGCAAACTGCTCCAGGTATCTTTGTGACCCCAAATGGAGTCACAGAGAGTTGGACATGACCGAGCAACAATGACCGCAACATCTGCAAGTCCATGAAAAGAGAGTGAGCTTCTGATGGATAATTCCACTCACCAAGTCATGCTATGTTAGGTATTCTGTAGGAGCCAAATCTTTGCAGCCTGTAGAGATGTGTTACCCAGTTTCCTCCATTCCCTTGGTGCAGCCTTCTCTAGGATGAGCCCTTTTGCAATTTCTGGTGCCAATGGCTTGGTCCTGAATTGCTATGAGAAACCCTTCCATTTTCCCAAACAAATTTGCATGACTTGTCCATTTGTTTGATGCTTCTTTGTCCACATATTGTTGGTTGAGTTCATGCCGATGTCACCCGTGGAGAGCCCTTTCATTTTACTCTTGGATCCTGGCCATTTCAGAGGCTCCATCTGGAGGCAAACAGCTTTCATTTCTGTTTGACAAATCCAACTACATGCATCTGCTGTCAGCCTTTACTAGCGGTCAGTGAAGTGTTCCCAAAGTATTTCTGTAGAGTTTTTCCTTGTTTGTCACGTGTTCTAAAAAACGTCTGTTAGCTCTCTTCCTCCTTTTCAGTGAGAATTTGTAAATCTTGCTATAGCCACTTTGAGGGGGATGGGAACTGTGTTTTGTTGATATTTTATGGGTTTTTTTTTCCAGGATACTTTCCAAATCTCTTATGTTCCATTTTATTATCATCATCAATCATCCATTATCCTCCTTCAGCTCCTCCTCCTTTTTTTAATCATTAAAAGAGAGACACAATGGTGCCGTCTTCAGAGCCAGGAAGATGCATGTGGATTCAAATCTGACCTTAGGCAAATCATTTCACTTCTCAGGACCCCAGGCAACGCTAAGATAACAGAGTATTGTGCAAAGAAGGTGCCCATCTGCCTCTGTAGATAAAATTCCTCCCTGGAAGCTCCCTACACTGATGGAATCCCAGGCACAGTTTAAAAAAATAGATATTTTCTGGAAGTTGACGCTCTGAATTTTCTTACAGTTTGGAAGAACGGAAGTGATTGACAACACACTGAATCCGGACTTTGTACGCAAATTTATACTGGATTATTTCTTTGAGGAGAAACAGAACATCAGATTCGATCTGTAAGTGTGAGAAACCGGTCTACTCTGACTGCTGCTCCAATTTCAGGATCAGCCTTCTGGGGTCTGTGTGTGGGCGTGCATTGGTGTGAATGTGTGTGTGTGTGTGTGTGTGTGTGTGTGTGTGTGTGTGATTGTGTGGGTGGGAAGGAACAAAACAAGGGATAGGGTAGCTAGTGGCCTTATTTGTGTGCAAGCTGGAGATCTCTCTCCACTTCTCATCTTTTGTGGGTAACCCAAGAGACAGAGTTTCTGGGTAATTAATAAGCAGGCTAGATAATTATCAATACATTGATAGAGCGTGGTTTGTCTTGGTAACCAAAGACCCAGGGGACACTGGATGACTTAAATATATTTTTTTGAAAGAGAATACCCCTGACAGGAGAAATCAACCCTGATTGGTGGACAATTAATGAGGAGGTGGGCTAGGCGTCTTCAGCTCCTCCTGCTGAGAACATGGTTTGATGGTGAGACTCAGCCACCTCCACCAATCTGGATGGGGAAATCCATCTCCATCCAGACCACTCCGGTTGGTTTTCTCTTTCATGACCTGGGTCACCCTAAATTCTAATGGAGGGTTTGAAGGACAGGGCTATTCTCCTTGGGGCAAGAACTCTCCCAGACTGGATTCTGTTTACATTCCCCCCTATCCTGGTTGGGTGGAATCTGGCCCAAGATTGAGGAGCATGGTCCCTAAGGGTTAGGGGTAGTCGCATCAATCAGCCATATCCTTCAGAGACTGACTGACTGTCCTACAGCGGCTGGGCCTTAAAATGAGGTAGTAAAAGAGAAATAAACCTGGACCCTAGTTTAATATCTGGTTATTAATATAGTAGCAAAATAATAATTTCTTTCAGGGTAGTACTGGAAGGGAAGTGGATGGAGAAGGAAGACCTTTTGCTTGAGGACATCTGAGGTATCTTGGGGAAAAAGGCAGATAGTCCAAGTGTGATTACGCAGGTCTATAGCCCTTTCTGTGGGCAAGGTTGAGTCTGGTGCATCTAAGCTTTAGAGTTCTGTACTGCAGAAGGGCCTAGCCAGTGGGATTCTCACACTAAGACAGGCACCAGAATGGTGACCTGCCCCCCAGAAGCAAGGGGGCCACCGGCCTGCCTAACGAGGCTCGTGTTGAACCAGAAATGCAGCAGGTCAAAGTTTCTGTGCCAGTTAGTAATGGAATTAGCTCATGAGCAGCGATCATACTTCTAGGCTGGGTGAGATAGGGAGACCCAGTGAGAGAGAGAGACAGGCAGAGGGACTAGGGCAGGCCATGAGAACTGAGTCCTGGGCTGGCCCTAAACAAGATAATAGAATAGCTAAAGAGGAGCTTTTGGTCCTCCTAATACAGGGGAGATATACATGTGTGTGTGTGTGTGTGTGTGCGTGTGCATATGTGTATATGTGTATGTATGTATGTATATATACATCATACATATATACCTATCTATATAACTACATGTGCTTACACACACACACGCGCACACACACACACGTTATCATAGACTCTCTTGGTCTGGCTAAACCTATGGATCCCTTTTCAGAATAAGGTTTTTAAATGTACAAAACAAAAAAGTGGATGGTAAAGGAAACTAATTATATTGAAATAGTTATCAAAAAATACATATTTTTAAAAGTTTCAGGTCCCCAGGTTAAGAACGCTTGTCCTAGTAGAACCTTACTACCTTAGTAGAACTGGAGAAGGAGACGAGGGGACAACTCCTAGCTCTCTCTACTCCTCTCTCCAACATTTTTATGGGAGTGAAGTCAGATATAATGAATAAGCAAGGCAGCTAGAGAAGGGGGTTAGAGCAACCCAAGCTAAGAGGCTTTGGTGACAGTGGGAAATGTAATGATCATATTATGCATGAAGTTTATGAGACTCTAATCTTTTAAAGACTCCACCAACTGTCTCCTCTCAGAGTCATTGTCTCAAACTAGATGCCTGGTTCATTGGCCTGGAAGGGGGTGGTAGAGAGAATGGGGGGATAGGGAGGGCCACCTCTTTGGAAGGTGGGGGACCTGGCTGTGTGACTCTGGGTAAATCACTTGACCTATCTGTTTCTCTCAGGGCAGTTCTGTAAGACTAAGTTTCAGAGTAGGTGCTAGTCTGCTTTGGTAGAAGAATGCCCCTCTTAGTGGTCACCTCACTGAGGAAGTCACAGTTCTGGTAAAATTAAAAAAAAAAAAAGAGGTGTCTGAGGCTATCTTCCATTAGGAATATATGAGTGCATAGAGCACTGGGCCTGCAGTCAGAGAGACCTGAGTTCAAATGTGACCTCAGACACTTACTAGCTGTGTGACCCTGGGAAAGTCACTTAACCGCTGTTTGCCTTAGTTTCCTCATCTATAAAATGGGGATAATAATAGCACCAGCTTCCTAGGCTTATCGTGAAGATCAGATGATATACTAATTGTAAAGTGCTTAGCATAAAGTGCAGGCACGTAATAGGTACTATATAAATGGTACTTATTATTATGTGAATATATAGTGAAACCACTCCAGCATCTTTGTCAGGAAAACACCAAATAGGGTCACAAAGAGTTGGACCAAGGTGGCTATGGAAGACCATATCCAAGGTGTTCCAAAAATCTTAGGGCAGTTTTAAAGTATTTTAAGCTATCATAGCTTAGATCTGCATCAAAACCTTTGGGACTTCCTGTATTATATATATCCATATAATATATATTATATTATATTCAATATATATAATCCATATATAATATAGATTATATATATGGAGAGAGATGTATATATTTTTGTGTATACATACACACCACACATATATAAGGAATATACATGTAGGGAATATATTGGGAACACATGTAGGGGATATATAGGAAATATATTTGAAATACATAGGGGATATATCTATATATAGGGAATGTATAGTGAATATAAAAGAATATATAGAAAATATATTAGGGAATATATAGGTTATATAGCTAGCATAAAGATGCAAGGGAATAGGTATGCATATGTACACACATATACAAACATTTGCATGCACGTACAATACATATATACATAGAAACATGCATGCATGCATGCATACACACATACACACTCCTGCCTCCTAGGTTCTCTTTTCCTTTCCTGTGACTTTTCTGTGCCCTGGGCTTTTTTTTCTATCCCTGCTTCCCAGCATTAAAGCAGGCTCTGATAGGGGAATATCAATGCCTGAGAAAGCTTAATGCATTTCCAGTCCCATAAGAGATTCATGTCCCTTTGGCCAGAGGTTAACTGGGGACTGTCAAGTTGGCTTTCTGATGAGATAGGAAGGTATGCTTGTGAGGAGGGGGAACCTCTCAGAGCCTCTGAAATTACCCCCCTAGGGTAGTGGGAGTAGCCAGCTACAGTGGAAAGGACACAGCTCTGAGGCCAAAGAACCTGGCTTATGTGACGTGGGGCAAATCACCTAAACTTCCTAGGTCTCAATTTCCTCATTTGTAAAATGAGAGTAGAGGGCTTCTAAATGTATGATCTGATGTTTTGGGGGGGATAGAGACTAAAGGTTAAAAGGGCAGAGGGGAGTTTTGGTCCCTAGAGGAAATCATTTAGAGGCTGATGAAGGGGGAGCTGGGAAACTGCCTACAAGTAGAAATTTAAGGCAAGAAGACTCCTATCAGTCCATTGTCAATGTTCAACATTAAATCAGAAAGGAAACAAAAAAAAACCCATAACATTTTAACAGTGACATTTCAGAGAGGAAGAATGCCAGTGCCTGATGAGAAGCTGATGACTTTATTTCTAGATGGGTACTTTCCAGGGCTGGAATCCAGGGTTTGGTTACAGACAAAGAGTGAAAGAGATGAGTTTCTGGAGATGTGACAGAGGGAGGGGATGCTCTCAAGGGTGTGAGGCAGGGAGTGCAGACTCCTAGAAAAATGTGGGGAATCCAATTTGTTCTCCATCAATCTGGGGCCAGAAGCAAGCATTGGGACATGGAGAGATTGAAGGAAAAGACTGTATCCCAGTGGCCAAAATACCTGCTTCATAGCAGGGGGGCTCCAAGTGTAGTCTTCGGTCTTTCTGATGTGGCTGCTTCCTTGAGTGGTCTTCTGAGAGCAGGGCATGGCGAGGGCGAGCTGGGCATACCCTCATTGCTCTGTCTTTGTGTCCCCTACAGGTATGATGTTGATTCAAAGAGCCCCGATCTCTCCAAACACGTGAGTATCGGGCTGTTGCCTTGCTGGTTTCTGCAATGTTTATTGAGCGCCAAGTCCAAACCCTCTATCTTGGCATTCAAGGCCTCCCACAGTCTATGAGAAGGGAAAGGGGAAGGAAACATTTATTAAATACCCACTATGTGCCAGGCACTGTACTAAGTTTGCTGTTGCTGTTCAGTAGTCCTATCTGACTCTCTATGACCCCATTTGGGGCTTTCTTGGCAAAGATACTGGAGTGGTTTGCCGTTTCCTTCTCCGGCTCATTTGACAGATGAGGAAACTGAGGCAAACAGGGTAAAGTGACTTGCCCAGGGTCACCCAGTCAGTAAGTGTCTGAGGCCAGATTTGAACTGTACTAAGTTCTTTAACAAATATTACCCCGTTGGATCAGCTCAGCAACCATGGGAGGTGGGTATTATCATAATCTGCATTTTATAGTTAGTTGTGAAAACAGGCTGACAGAGTTTAAGTGACTTAACTCAGGGTCATACATCTAGGAAGTGTCTGAGGCTGGATTTGAATTCAAGTCTTCCTGACTCTACGCCCACCACTCTATCCATTGGGCCACTGAGTTTCCTAGGTCCAGCTTAGGCTACTCCCCTTCATGTGATGGACACACGGCAACCCAGGCAGGCTACTTATCTTTCCTGGAACACTTCAAGAGCTTTCCTGCTCCTGGTCTGCTCAAACCATTATCCATACCTGGGACTCCTCTTTCCTTCATCTCATCCACAGACTCCCGGCCCCAAAGCATCTCTACTAGTTGAAATCCTGCCCACCATTCAAGGCTCAGCTGTAACGCCACTTCCTTCATGAAACCTTCAGTGGTGTGGCAAGGAGTGTCTTTTGTCTCTTTTTATGTTCCCAGTACCTGGTACATAGTAGGTGCTTGATAAACTTGATTACTGATTATTATTGATTACTTGATGCATAACTTCGGTCACAGCCCCCTGTCCAAAGTGATTTCTCCCAACCGTCCTTGCACTTCCACTCTTGTGTAGCTCTCTCGTGCACCCATCTTGTTCCACTTTGTGGGAGATGACATATGGAAAGTACTCAGCAAATCTTTTTTTTTTTAATAATATTTTATTTTTTCCACACTCAGCAAATCTGAAAGCCAGAAATATGTTGGAGCTAATTTGTGCTGGTTCATGAGAGCCAAGTGTTAAATTCTGAATGTAGCATCAGAAATAGGCAAATGCTACAAAACAGGGCTGGATTTATTATTTTGTTGATTGTCTAGACTTAAGAGAGTGATGGAGGAAATGTTAATGATGCAAATCTAATGTAAAAATGTGTTATGCATATATATTTTTTGCAATCAGCTATTAAACATTTACCAGCTCATTGCTGCTTAATATGCTATATAAATGTTAGCTATTATCATAGCTATTGATTTATGTCTTATCTACCCTACCAACTCCTCACCAGGTACAAACATTTTTACTCTCCAAGGTATCACTGTTAAAATGTTGTGGGTTAGGGGCAGCTAGGTGGCATAGTAGATAGGCCAGATAGGACCTGAATTCAAATCTGGCCTTAGACATTTAATAATGGTGTGACCTTGGGCAAGTCACTTGACCCTGATTGCTTAAAAAAAAGAGTATTAAAATGTTATGAGATTTTTCCCTTCTGATTTAATGTTAAATATCCATAATGGGGGGCAGCTAGGTGGTACAGTGGATAGAGCACTGGGTCTGGAGTCAGGAAGACTCATCTTCCTGAATTCAAATGTGGCCTCAGACACTTACTAGCTGTGTGACTCTGGGTGGATCACTTCACCTTGTTTGCCTCAGTTTCGTCATCTGTCAAATGAGCTGGAGAAGGAAATGGCAAACCACTCCAGTGTCTTTGCCAAGAAAACCCCAATGGGGTCACGAAGAGTCAGATGTGACTGAAAAATGTCTCAACAACAGCAAATCTACAATGAGGTGACATGAGTCTTCTTGATTTAAATTTCTATGTCTAGGCCTTTCCCCACCTACCCCCTTTATCAGCCTCTAAATGATCCCTCTAGGATCCAAAGCCCCACTCTCCTATCCTGTGGCCTTGCTCACTGGGCTTCTGGGAGGTCACCTAGTCTGATGTATTAACGGGCCTCGGTTTTAATGTCACTTCTTCCATTTATGTACTACATGGCCTTGGTAAAGCACTTCCCCTTGAGAACCTCCAGTTCCTTCCTTGTAATGTGAGTACCAGATGACCAGTAGAAAGAAGACTGGCTTTGGAATCAGAGCATCTCGGTTTGAATATATGGCTGTGCTAAGGTGGCTAATTATTTAATCTTTCTTAGACTCGGTTTCCCCATCTCATTTTGAGGGGCTTGGACTAGAGGGCCTATAAGGGGCTTTCATTAAGTTTCTAAATACAAGACAACTTCTACACGGAAGGCCTTTCTACACGTAACAGTAGGGGTAGCTAGATGGCACAGTGGATAGAGTGCCAGGCCTGGAGCCAAGAAGAAGAGTTCAAATCTGGCCTCAGGCATTTCCTAGCTGGGTGACCTTGGGCAAGTCACTTCACTCTGCCTCAGTTTCCTCAGCTGTAAAATGAGCTGGAGAAGGAAATGGCAAACCACTCCAGTATCTCTGCCAAGAAAACTCCAAATGGGGTCACGAAGAGTTAGATACGACTGAAATGACAGAATAATGACACTTCATAATCCATGTATATGAAATAATAGAATTATAGAGCTAAGAGACATGTTGGCAATGAATTAGCATCCCGGAAGGGGCTGGAGCTGAGGTCTGGGGGTAGAATTGGCGTGTGGATGGACAACACTCTTTCTGTGTCCTTGCAGGATTTCCTGGGCCAGGCCTTCTGCACTCTGGGAGAGATCGTGGGGTCCCCTGGGAGTCGCCTGGAGAAGCCCCTCACGTAAGTGTGTGGGGACAGAATGCTGAGCAGTAATGGGTGGCGTGGCTAGAGTCATACAGCGTGAGTGACTGTTCTGTCCAGCACGGTGCCTGGCACAAAGTCGGCATTCAATGAATGTCTGAGTTTTATTTTGACTCATTAGTAAGTTTATTTGGGTCATCATGAGCTTATTGGGTATTTAGGCAAAGTTTAATTGCTAAGTTTAATCCCCACAACTAACACTTCTCATGGTCCTCTACAGAGCCTTGAAGATAACCAGATACCCAGACACACCTCAGATAACCAGACTCACTAGGGGGTAGTATGAAAAACTATTTATGTCGAGGGTGGGGGTGGGGAAGGTGGCGTCCCTCTGCAACTATCCTGCCTAGAATGAATGAATGAATGAATGAATGAATGAATGAATGAAAAAGCATTTAAGTGCTTACTATGTGCCAAGTACTTTACTAAGGATAAAGGATACAAATAAGAAAAAAAGAAACAGTCTCAGCTCTCAGAGAGCTCATACACTAATCTGGGGAGACAGTACATAAAAGAAAGTTCAGCCACCGGACAGATGGAAAGGCCTGGGTATCCTTAGGGGACAGTCATTAAGACCCAGAGGTCCTTAGGCTACTTAAGTAGTTAAGTGACCTAAGTTACTTAACAGTGCTGGGGTATTGCAGGGCATAGATGGTAAGAACTGGAGGAGGGGCAGCTAGGTGGCGCAATGGGTAGAGCACCGGCCCTGGAGTCAGGAGGACTTGAGTTCAAGTATGGCCTCAGACGCTTGACACTTACTAGCTGTGTGACCTTGGGCAAGTCACTTAACCCCATTGCCTAGCCAAAAAAAAAAAAAGAACTGGAGGATCTTAGGAGTCATTGGCAGTGTAGACGGGGAAGCTTTGTAACCTTCCTCATCAGAAAAAAATGGAGTGCTTGATTCCCATCTCATCCGAGCCCTGTGAGGGTTAAACATTTGAGGAGGAGGGAAAAGGCAAAGGGTTAGAGCTGTATGGTTCCGAGACTGTCGAGGGCTGCGGAAAGGGTTGAGGGGAGTGGGCAAATAGGGTAGGGTGCCACCAATGGTGGTGGCTCTTCTTACCACTTGGCTATCCCAGATTGGTTCTGGGATGGCCTGGGCCAGGAGAGAGTAGAGAGGAGCAGAGTTTTCCCCGTGAGTGAAAGCCCAGAGCTGGAGGAAGGGCTCAGGGCCCTCAAGTATGGTCTGGGATATCTACATTAGTCAATCTCTCAATCAGCGAACATTTGTTAAGTGCCTATCATACGTCAGGCACTATGTATCCTCTAAATAAGTAGATTATAAAGACAAGTGAAAAAATGCTTGCCCTCCAGGATCTCACAGTCTAATGGAGAGGTAAAATGTAGACCTATATAGAAGACAGTCATCCTTTCCACATTGTGAGGATTAGGGGTACAATGCCCCCTGCAATCTAGAAAATCTGCGTAAAAGTTTTTGGCCCTCTCTTTGTACCAGAGGAGAAGTCTGAATTATTATGGTATTAAAAGATAAAATATGTTTATATTATATAATATGATACATATATTTTAAGTATTTCTGAGTTTCTAAACTTTTTTTTGTGTGTCATCTGCGGCTTCTGCAAAACCCCTCTCAAATTCCCATTTAATTTCTTATGCTGACCCGCAATGTGTTGCAACCATGAAGGGGAAAGTCAAGATGTGGAAGGAATAACTGTGTAAACTAAATTAAGGCAGGGTAGTTTGGGGAGGGGGCGTACTAGCAAGGAGTAGGGATTAATTCCAACTCATTACCATACTCCATCTTTGGATCCCTTCCAGCATCACTGGGCTGAAGATTGAGAACAGAATTGAGGTCTGCTTTAGCCCACCCCTCTACCTTCCTCTAGATTCCAGCTTCCCTCTAATTTTTCCCTGTTCTTCCCCTTTCCCAAGGATATTTCCTCTGTTGGTTTAGCAACTGGAGCCCTAGATACCCAGTAAGCCTTTGAATGCTGCCACATTCCCTACCAAGCAGGAGTTGGGGAAAGAACAGGAGAGGACTTTATAGCTTCCGAAAGTTTCCAGGTGTATGGTCAGACTTTATGTCTGTGACCCTAAGCTGGTACTTACCCAGGACTATGACTCCAACGCCTTGACCACTGCAATGTGGGGGACATAAAAGAAATATGAGACACAAATCCTTGTCTGAGAACTTTTAGTTTAATGAGAAAGGCAAAACTAAAGCAGAGGAGGAAAAAAAGAAATGTACATGCTAATTTTGTTGTAAATTTGAAAGGAATAGCAAATTGTGCATAGTAGATTTAAAGTTTCATGTACAATCATCTTTTTATTGTATTTTTTTTTGTTGTTTGTTTTGGGCAATCCGGGTTAAGTGACTTGCCCAGGATCACACAGCTAGTACGCGTCTGAGGCCATTTTGAACTCAGGTCCTCTCCACTCTAAGGCTGGTGCTCTCTCCACTGTGTCACCTAGCTGCCCCCATTATACTATATCATAGAAATGCTTGTTTTACCTAATTATTAATTAATACATAAATATGTATTAATGTAATAAAAAGGGGGGGGAACTAAAGCAGAGGTACATGAAGAAGGAACTAATACCACATGGCAAGGTCCTAGTTTTAAGAGTAACAGGAAAGAGAAGAGACAGAGCAGCACAGGAAGGAGTAGCCAGGGTGGGCTTCGTGGAAGATCTGGGATTTCCCCTGGCTTTTGAACAATCATAGTTCATATATCCAGCACTGGAGGACACCTTAGAAATCACCTAGTTGGAAAATATAAGTTTATGTATATATGTATGTATGTGTATATATGCATATGTATATGCGTATGTATATATCTATATCTATATAGAAATATATCCAAGCTTAATGGTAGCCTTCTGGGGTGGGGGTGGGGAGGAAGAAAGAAAAAAGAACAAAGTAAAAGTACACAGCAGAGAATAAAAGAAAACCTACAAGGAAGCAAAGAAAAGATGAATAGCTCTCAACACAACACATAGTATTATTACATAGCCTTTCTTGAAATGGGAAGTTATTGCTATACATTTTGAATCCTCTCTTACATTCTGCTGTATACATGACATGGTTTTTTTTTTCATTTCTTATTTTGTATTTATGTTTTAATATTTAATTTCATAATGTGTTTCTTTTTCTTTTCTTATTGTGTATTTAAGTTTTAGAAAAATAAAATTTTTTAAAAAAAGAAATCACCAGTTTAACCCTTTGATTTTATGAACAAGGAAATTGAGGTCCAGAAAAGGGGCAGTCATTTACTGAAGGTCACACAGCAAATGGCATACCCTGGAATAGGGGCCTGTCCTCTAAGCCAAATTCCGTGGTCTTTATAATAGACTAGGCTACCTCATATACTGGAAGGTATGTGCAGTTTTAGTGTTTCCTCATCTGCCAGCCCCTTCCTCCCTACCCCAGAGGCATTAAAGAGAGAGGGGGAAAAGGGTGGCAGGAAGAGAAAAGAGGGAAGGAAGATAATACACAGGATGATTGACAGCTCCTTAGTCAGAGAATAATAGCTGTCTTCCCAACCATGTCAGGAGTCGGGAGCTGTAGGTGGTAGGGGTGGGGAGTAGGTGATAGGACTGGGGAAAGCTGTGCTTTTCTAGGGGAGTTGGGGGTGGGCTCCTGGGAGTGAGTCTGGTCACCTACTGGGAAATCTCAGCTTCCTCTGTACCACCCAGCTGGTGGTAAAAACGTGGGTGGCATCTGCTTCTTTGTCCGAGTGCAGAAGCAGCAGTTTCTAGGTCACTTGTCTGCCTAGAGAAACCGTCCTGATGGACAGAAAGACCTGGGAGGGTCAAAAAGGGCTTCCTCTCTCTGATTTCCTCTGAGACAGGCGAAGTGACTCCCTTGAGGGATAGAGGCCTCTCTGATCCATATCTGCAGCTGGTCCTCTCCAGAGGGGCTTGGTGGGGATGCAGAATACTGATTATTCCATTTTTCATTGAGTGTTCGGGGGATCTTTGAGAAGCTGGATGCCTGCGGACCCTGAGCAAGAAACAGAGGGGATCAGGGAGATTGGGAAGAAGTGTGATAGCCTAGTGTCAGAACGATGCAATGGGGAGAGCCCTGGATTTGGGAATCGAGAGACCTGGGTTGAGTCCTGGGTCTGTGGATAGCTAGGCAAGTGAGTTCCTCTTTCTTGGCCTCATTTTCCTCATCTACAAAATGAAAGATTTGAATTAGGTGGTTTCTAACATCTCTTATACTGTGGTTCAGTGACCACATCATTCCATTCCTACTGAGGTGCCCAGGCCTGTGCTGCAGGAGAAACAGATGATGCATAATACATTTCAGAGCTGGAAAAGACATAACGATACTTATATTCAAATGATCTCATTTTACAAAGATCAGAGAAGGGAAATGATCATCTCAAGGTCTATGGACTGACTCATTTGGAGAGAGATACATGATCATAGATTCTCTATGCTTAGTTGGGGAATCAAATCCTGTCTCCTTTCCAAAGCCTCTCTTAGTGGTCATCTCTCCTTCCCTACTGATCTTGGTACTTTTCTTATAGAGAGAGAAATAATCTTATTTATTTAGTTAGTTAGCTTTTGGTAAGGCAATCGGAATCAAGTGACTTTCCCAGGGTCACACAGCTAGTAAGTTTTAAGTGTCTGAGGCCGGATTTGAACTCAGATAAATCATTTATTAAGCACTTACTGGGTTCCAGGTGCTGTGCTAAGGCACTGAAGATGCAGATACAAGGAAGCGACACAGTTCCTGCCTTCAAGGAGCTTATATTTGTACAGGAGAAGATAGCACAAAGCAGTGCTGGAAAACTGGGGTGGGGGCGTGTAAATGGGGCCACGTTAATGGGGCCATGTTGAGAAGGCTGCAGGATGTGGGGTGGAGGCCTGAGCCCTGCCAAGAAGAGGCAAAAAGCTCACTTGTCAGAGCTGTGGAAATCAGAGGGAGAATCGTCCACTCCTTTATTCACAGCATACTTTCTGCATTTTTGGTGATTACATTTCTTACCTCCTCTTTTAGACCATGAGGTTCTTAAGATCAGGTTTTTTATATTTCTTTTATTTGCTCCCAGTGCTTTAAATATAGTGGGCAATCAATAAATGTTGAATGAATGAGCAAGTAGATGAATGAATATGAACAGTAACAAAATATCTGGTATAGACCAATGGTACCAAACTCAAATAGAAACAAGACCAGTAAACCGTACAGAAGGATCTCTCCACATTGGCTTAGACAACCACCATTGTCTATGTTCTCTTGTATTTTTATTGATCTGGTTAAATATTTCCCAATTACATTTTAATTTAAATTACATTCATGGTGCAACTAAGCCAATTTGAACTTGAATTCAAATCTGGCCTCAGACACTTACTAGCTGTATAAACCTGGGCGAGTCACTTAACCTCAGTTTGCCTCAGTTTCCTCATTTGTAAAATGAGGGTAACAATATATTTTTAAAAAATTTGTGACTCTGTAGTGAGTCTGAGGAGGGCATGGGTGCCATTAGTAAAAATGAGGAAATTGGGGATAGGCGTGGTTTTAGGGAAAAGATCAATTGGAGTTGAGAAATATTGAGTCCAATGGGGTTAGTGACAGCTCACGCCTGACCAGGCTGGGAAGATAAAAGGAAATAACATACGCAAAGTGCTTTACAAACGTTGAAGTGCTATATAAATGCTTCTATTGTTGTTGTTCCGTTGTTTCAGTCATGTCCAACTCTTTGTGACTCCATTTGGGGTTTTTTCAGCAAAGGTACAGGAGTGGTTTGCCATTTCCATCTGCAGCTCATTTTACAGATGAGGAAACTGAGGCAAGCAAGGTTAAGTGACTTGCTCAGGGTCACACAGCTAGTAAGTATTTGAGGCTGGATTTGAACTCAGGAAGATGAGGCTTCCTGACTCCAGGTCTGGCACTCTACCCACTGCACCACCCAGCTGCCTGTATAAACGATACCTCATATTATTATTATTATTATCCTCCAAGGGTTGTTGTGAGGCTCAAATGAGATAGTAATTATAAAGCACTTAGCACAGTGCCTGGCACGGAGTAAGCACGATGTAAATGTTAGCCGTTATTATTATTCACTTGGGAGTGGTATTATTGAGTCACTTGGGAGTGTACAGCTTCTGTTTAGGACTTAAGTAGCCCTAGTCCCAGATACCCAGTGGGCCCTTGAATAGCCACATTCCCTATGAGGCAAGGATTGGCGAGAGAATAGGGGAGGAGATCTTACAGCTTCCAAGAGATGTGTTGTCAGACTTAAGTCCATGGACTGAAGCTGTTCTTAGCCAGGACTACATCTCTGACCCCATGGCCGCTGTAATGTGAGGGGAGGGATGGAGGGGGACATGAAAGAAATGGAAGAAGAATCCTTGTCCTCGGTGAGCTCTTAGTTTAATGAGGAAGGCAAAACTAAAGCAAGTAGTACATGAAAAAAAAGGTAAGGGACTGGTTGGAAGAGCAATAGGACAGAGAAAGGAGAACATGGCATGGAAAAGCATGGGACCGGGCTGCATGTTGGACGCCTGTGGTATAGACAATAAATGCCAAGCCCAGGTAATAGGAAGGGGACAGGGCTGTTCATCACTCTGCTTCTCACTCTTTGCCTTGCTGTCTCTTTCTCTGTCTCTGTGCCTCTGTCCGTCTGTCTTTCTCCACCAGGATAGGAACATTCAGCTTGAATGCTAGGACTGGCAAACACATTCCATCAGTGTCAAATGGGTAAGGTCAAAGACTCCTTCTTCCCCTGAGATATCAGCCTTACAGAATCCTGGGGAGGGCCAAGATAGCTCTTAGTGGGCCAGATATGATTCCGCAATGTGACCGTGTGAAGACCCAGGCTTGCTTAGGGGTGTAGAGTAATTCCCTGCCCCAAGACACCCGCTGAGGAAGGGCTCAAGAGCTCTATATAAATTATAGGTGGAAATTTTCCTAGAGCACCTGTTCTCAAATAGATACCCTTGGGGGTTGTGTATAAGGCCAAAACTATGTTCGGAATCATGCTAAGATGTTTTGATTTCCGATATGGTAAGTACCGATAGGTATAACCCACATAAACAAAAGCTCTTTGTGGGGTTCTTCAATAATTTTTTGGGAGGTAATTGGAGTTAAGTGACTTGCCTAGGGTCACACAGCTAGTAAGTATCTGAGGCCAGATTTCAATTCAGGTCCTCCTGACTCCAGGGCCAGTGTACCACCTAGCTGCCTCAGTTCTTCAATAATTTTTAAAAGAATCTAAGACCAAAAGGTTTGAGAATTGCCATCTTAGAGTAACCTTTGGATTGAGGAGATCAATCTTTTGGCTCAGGCCTAAAAGATTAGATCCTGCCCATGAGTAATCAAAGTCAGGGAGCCTTGGGCCATGGATAACAACTTGAGTTACAGTTTACTTTTTCCTCACTTTTCACCATTCTGAGATGAGAACCAATAACCCCATTCTTACCTACCCAAGTCCATGACTCCCTCCTTAACTCTCTTCCCTCTGTGGTGGAAAAAATATGATCTGAGTGGCTTTGAGTGGAGTAAGTCAAAGGAGTTTTAATCTCTGGTTTTTATGGGGGGAGGCTGGGGACCTCCATTAAAGTCCTGCTTCAATACCTTACCATCACACGGAGGCAATGCTTGCTTCATCAAAGGTGTGCCGGGGTGAGCTGTAGTAGGTCTTACGAACCTGCAAAGACCTCAAATATGGAGCTGTTGATGATCTGTGGCTGTTCTCTGAAGGCCGGCCTAGCTAATATGACAGGGCTTTATCACCAGAGGGTTGGCCTTCACCAGGTAAAGGAAGACCTGATAAGGAGTTACAGTCTGCAATGGTGTATGTATGATGATGAAGCTATAGAAATTATATGTACATGGAAGGGCTAATTGGCCTTCAGGGTATTTTTTCCCTTCAGAAGTGATCTTTGGATGAAAAGTATGAGAACCATTGGCTTTATGAGAACCATGAGAGCCTCATGTAGGCAGCCCTCCCTGATTTGGCTCTGAGGAAGAGGGGGAGGTTAGGTAGGGAAATACGGTTAAGTTCTGAAGGGGGAAAGGAAGTCAGCTGTAGGCTTGGGGGGAATTTGTGTGTGAGTAGTCACTTTGAGGCAGTTAGGAGGCGCAGTCGATGGAGCCTGGGCCTGGAGTCAGGAAGACCTGAGTTCAAATTCTGCCTGTCACTTAAATTGTTTAACGTCTCTTTGCCTCACATAGTCCTCTGGGTTACTCAGTGCTAGATGGGCTATTCTGCTGCTGCTGCTGGCAGGGGAAATTTCTGAGCTGAGGAAATCCCAGATCTGGGATGTATTGAGTCTGCCTCTGGTTTACACATTTCCTGAATGTTCCAGGATGCTCCTTTCTGCGGGCGTTAGGCTGGTCTGCGGATGGTGCTGGGGCTGAGGAAGGGGAGTGGTGGGAAAGGAAGGGGCTGCCTTGACTGTGGGTGTCCATTGTCTAATGCTGGCTCTCTCCCTTTCCCAGCGGGGTCCCTGGGAAGAAGTGTGGTACCATTATCTTGTCAGTGGAGGAGTTGAGCAACTGCAGGGTGAGTGATGTGTGGGGTGGGGAGGGGCAGGGAGATCCCTCTGGGCTGAATGAAGCCAGGTGGGCCTTCCATGGAGCAGCAAGGCCACTGGGGCTCTTGGGGGCAGGGATGGGGGAGCAAACCCCTCCATTCCAACTTGGACAGAGTTTGTCCATGCAGGCAGATCTGCCTTTTCTGTCTTAGCATCTGGCCAAGAAAGAGTTTCTTGGGGGGTGGGGGTGCAGCCTCCTAGAGAGCAGGAAATTGTCTCTTAATTAACATTTTTTCCTCTCTCTCAATGTCTTCCATGGGGTTTTGCAATCAATTAGTCAATGAACCAGCAATTATTAAACACCTATGATTGTGATAGATGCTAGGATACGAAGACAAAAAAGAAATAACAAAATCATAAATTATATATAAAATTATAAAAATAACATAAAAATAAAGAAATAAAAAAGAAATCTGTCCTTTAGGAACTTACATTCTGTCTTCCTGCTACATACAGTAAGTGCTTAATAAATGCTTGGTGTTTTTTTTTTTACCCTCACATATAGCTTCCAGGTAGGAAATTGCTGTTGGATTTGGAGAAACAGAAGTGTTTTCACCGTGTGTGTGTGTGTGTGTGTGTGTGTGTGTGTGTATGTTTTGGGTGGAAGCATTCTCTCATTCTGTCCAGTCTTTCAATCTAGCATAAACCATACAGACAGAAGGAGATAATAACAAAGGAGGGGTGGGTCCTCAAGTGTGGCCCTGAATCCGAATGGATTCCATCAAAGGGCCACACTTGAGGAGCTAGAAGGCCACATGTGGCCTCCGGGCCGCAGGTTCTCCACTCCTGGAATGGACAAAGGTTTCAGGTGAGATTGGCCAGGAAAAGGCTCTTCAGGATGATCCTGATTTTGTCCTGTGCAACTAGGACCCTGTGTTTGAATTGATGTGACCTTGAGGAGAGACGGGAGGGGCAAGATGGGTGGGGCAGGAGGAGAAGTAGATTGAACTTCAAACTGGGATTTCCAGGGAATGGTCTCAGCCCGCTGATAACTGGAAACAGGAGACGGAAGGAAGGAGGAGTAGGAGAAGGAAGGGGAGGTAACCAGACAGTCTAGGCTTCCTAGCTTTGCTTTGGAAAAGTAATTGGAGTCAGGATATTCGCACACAGATTCCCGGCTCAGACACTGAGTAGCTGGTGAACGATGCTCTCGGTTTCCTCCTCTGTAAAATAGGTTTGATAATACTTGCACTGCTGACCTCCTCAGGTTGTCGTGAGTATGTAAATTGCTCTGTAAACCTTATAGTGCCATATAAATGTTATCTATTGTTGATAATAATGATAATAAACCTTAAAGCACCATAAACCTGTTACCCATTATTTATGTTCATTGCCATTTATAAAGCAGTGTGCTAGGTGCTGTGGAAGAATTTTAAAAGGGAGAAGTGTAGTCAGGAAAACGTGGGCTGGATTTGCTGGTAGGGGGCCTGGGTTCAGATCCTGGCTCTGCCACTTACTAGCTGTGCGACCCTTGGAAAAGTTGCTTCACTTTTCTGGGCCTCAGTCCCTCTGTAAAGTAAAGGACAAAGGGAAGTGAGTACTTACTATGTGTCAGGCACTGTGCTAAATGCTTTACAAATATCATCTCATTTGATCCTCGCAACAATCCTGAGAGGTAGGTGCTGCTATTATGCCCATTTTACAGTTGAGGAAACTGAGGCAAACAGAGGTCAAGTGACTTGCCCAAGGTCAAACAGCTAGTAATTGTCTGAGGCCAGATTTGAACTCAGGTCTTTCTGACTCCAGGCCTGGGGTCTATCCACTGCACCACCTAGCTGGCCACCTGGCACATAGTAGGTGCTTAATAAATGTTTATTGATCGATTATAAAGAGAGAAGAAATGGCTTCCCCATAGACACACAGAAATTAAGTAGCAGAACTGGGTTTTAAATCCCAGGTCTTCTGACTGCAGATAAGATACCGTTTCAGCTATCACATGCCACTTCTCCTTATTTTAAACTTTTCAGGGACTTCTTTACCTCCAGGTCTGGTATTCCAAACCTGAATGGCAGATAAACAACTCATCTCTGGGCCATTTCTGACAAATTCAGGCTGTAGTTTTTATTCATGTCAAAAATAAATCCTTCTTTAATATCTCATCCTAGCAGCGAGGTCACCCTTGGTTCTTGAAGGCTACAATAATCATGTATGACAAACTTATGAGTGTCTAGTAGATCTTGTCAAAAAAATTGTAATAATATATATGAGGACCATTAAAAAACGTTTTTGGCTTTTCCCTACCCCTATCCATTATAATTTTACAGATCTCAGTCAGTTCTCTGGGGACCTTCCCCCAAAGCTGTCCGTTTTCCAGACTGCAAAGGCCTAATTTGTTTTCTCTTCTCAACTGACAGTCAGTTTTCCCCTCCACCCCCCTCATCAAAATCCCCCCAATCTCCTTGATTATTTCAGCTCTTTTTCTACAGTTCCATTAGTTCTTTCTTATCCTAAAACACTTTCAAGGAAAGGAGATTGAATCTTGGCACCTGACTGAATTAAAGCAATTGTATTTGAATGGTTTCTTTTATGTCATATTGGTGAAACATAAAGGGGCAGACTTCCAAAGATGCATCAGGGCTCTGCCAAAAGGACCATTTCCTGATCATATGAATAAATTCTACCCCAAATAGAGGAAACTACATCTGATATAAGAGGAGAGAGAGAAACAGAGTAACAGAGGTGGAGACAGAGATAGAAACAGAAAGACGGAGACAGAAGAAGCAGAGATGCATATAGAGACAAACAGGGATGAGGAGAGAAGGGGGTGGCATGGAGAGAGACAGAGAGTGAGAAAGATGGAGGGAGGGAGGAGAGAGAGAGAGAGAGAGAGAGAGAGAGAGAGAGAGAGAGAGAGAGAGAGAGAGAGAGAGAGAGAGAGAGAGAGAGAAAGAAAAGCAGAAAGATAAAGACAGTTAAAGAAATAGATAAAGTCAGAGACACGGGGAAAAAGAGACAGACAAAAGCAGGGAGATAAGCAGACAGAGACAGACAGAAAGAGAGACACACAGATATAGAGACAGAGGGCCAAGGAGAGAGAGAGAGAGAGAGAGAGAGAGAGAGAGAGAGAGAGAGAGAGAGAGAGAGAGAGAGAGAGAAAGAAAAGCAGAAAGATAAAGACAGTTAAAGAAATAGATAAAGTCAGAGACACGGGGAAAAAGAGACAGACAAAAGCAGGGAGATAAGCAGACAGAGACAGACAGAAAGAGAGACACACAGATATAGAGACAGAGGGCCAAGGAGAGAGAGAGAGAGAGAGAGAGAGAGAGAGAGAGAGAGAGAGACAGAGACAGAGAGACAGAGACAGAGAGAGACAAAGACAGAAACAGAGACAGAGAGAAACAGAGATACTGAGAAAAAGAAAAAGAAATAGGGACAGAGAAAAGCCAAAAGCTTTTTAATAATTCTCATATATATTATTTCAATTTTTGACAAGATCTACTAGACACTCACAAGTTTGTCATACAGGATTATTGTAGCCTTCAAGAACCAAGCATGACCTCCATGCTAGGATGAGATATTGAAGAAGGATTTATTTCTGACATGAATAAAAACTACAGCCTGAATTTGTCAGAAATGGCCCAGAGACGAGTTGTTTATCTGCCATTCAAGGCCAACCCTTGATGGGTGGAGAGAGGTCATCAACAGAGGACCAAGGTATCAGGTGCTGAGCAAGTCGCCAAGATTCTTCATCCACCATGTGGTGGTAGGGTTGTGATTTGTATTAACGGAGTCAGGAACACTGACACTGATGAAATCATGGTCCTTGAATTAATGCCTATATATACATACCTACATACCTACATATATATGTGTACACACAGACATATGTGTAATACATACATACATACATACATATATATATGTGTGTGTGTGTATATATATATATATATGTATATATATATATATATATATATATATATATATATAATACATATAAAATAAAAGCCACAACTCTGTATAGCGAACAAGCAATTATTAAGAAAGAGACAGCTAGATGGCACAGTGGATAGAGTACTGGGCTAGGAGTCAGGAAGACTTGAGTTCAAATCTGCCCCCAGACACTTACTAGCGGGCAACTTACTTCACCCTGTTTGCTTCAGTTCCTCACCTGTGAAATGAGCTGAAGAAGGAAATGGCAAACCTCTCTAGTATCTTTGTTAAGAAAACCCCAAATGGGGTCATGAAGAATTGGACATGACTGAAATGATTGAACGAACAACAAAGAGAGAGACATATAAAAGTACAACGATGGGGAGCTCTCTAGAAAATCAACAAGAAATAAACAAAGGGCTGCTATTGTATGTCATACAGTAAGTAATCCAGCAGAGAGAAGCCATTTTACGGAAAGCATTACCACTGGAAATAATAACTATGAGTAATAAGAGTCAGTCACAGAGCCCAACCATCCCACCACCACCTAGAGATTATTCATAGTTACCCTCTATTTTATTGCATCTTTAATTACAAACCAGTTTTTTAAAGACCCAAATCCCAAGGATTAGTGAATGATCTAAAGTATTTATACTAAGATGCAATGATAAATCAGAGACTTGAGTAACACACGTGACACAAATGTTAAACAATAATTATTTAAGTAGCTTGGATAACGTTCGTTAGCTGATGCCTTATGGATAAACTCTAAACTGAAACTTGAAAAACAAACAAATGAACCCTCTCCCCAAAACAAACATTTATTAAGGACCTACTGTGTGCCAGGTACTGAGCTAAATGCTGGGGATACCAAGAAAGGCAAAAAACTTCTCCTATTATCAAGGAACTCACAGTCCAATGGAGGAGACCGTATTAAACAGCTGTGTACAGACAAGATATAGACAGGGTAAATTGGGGGTGGTCTTAGACAGAAGGCACCAGCATTAAAGGTGATAGGAAGGGGCAGCTAAGTGGCACAGTGGATAGAGCACTGGCCCTGGAGTCAGGAGGACCTGGCTTCAAGTCTGGCCCCAGACTC